TATATATATATATATATATATATATATATATATATATATATATATATATATATATATATATATATGTATATGTATATATATATTTCTGTGTCTGTGTCTGTGCCTGTGCCTGTGCCTGTGTCTGTGTCTGTGTCTGTGTCTTTGCCTGTGCATGTGCCTGTGTATACATGTGACACCTATACATATATTCTAAATTATTCACATAAATAAATAAAGTTTGTACGGTTGTATTTGAAATAAAGCACGAACGCCGTGTATGTAACCATGTAGAACTTTCGATCTGCATACATAGTGGTAGTACCGATGAGACGCTAAACCCTTATTTACTATTTCAACTTGGTGTATCGAATAGGTCGACTCGGCCCAAGAACTGGGAGAACCTTGCTCGCTGTTTGTACCAAGTGAATCTCCGCTAGTGTGTGTTGTGGGCTACAAAAGCGGAGAAATACGAGTGCTGATGTCGGTCACGCCGTTGTGTGGACTCTGGGGCACAGAGGTGAAGACAGACGACATATTTACTATGGAGCGCATCTTGGTGGGTAACTCAGCCGTATCGCTTTATGAAGATCAAATACATCATGACAGGTATACATACGCCTGCATATATATATATATATATATATATATTATCAAGCGGTGTACAAAATCTACGTTGTAGAATCTCGACGGGGGCGAGGATGTGTTTGGTCTTGTTTATATATACATGTTGTCTAGGATACTATGCCTAGTTGCAATGGTGTATGAGCTCACTGCTGTGTATCGGTGCTCTGCTCGCGTATATCTGATACTGGGGCGATTTGCTTAGACCTTACATAGGTGCGCTAGATCCGCCGTATGACGACCAATTGATTCATTGGTCCAGTTAGCTCGCCGCAAACCCAACCGACTCTATCGCTCGAGGCTGTCTTCGAGAAACTTACCAAAGGGTTTAATATTACTACTGTTGGCTGACAATCCGTCTGATGTGCCATGGCGTATCGTTATACGGAGTACCTTATTCCATTTTAAACGAATGTACGTATTCAGTTTCTCATTCAGCCTGCACGCAAAGGCACAAGTAACGCAACCTACAATCACACCCCCATGCCCCGTCTCCACCGCAGGTTCTTTGCCGCCAACGAGCACGGAGTGTTCCGCATTGTGCTGCCCAACATGTGTGCCATTGTCAATTCACTAACGGGTGTGGATAACTTGCCCCTGCAGTCGTCTATCAACCACATTCTGGTAATCATGCAAAACCCAGACAGCGCGACCGGGTCGGCCGTTGCTGGGCTAGCTACCGTTGCGGGCGAGGGAGCTGGCTATATGCTCCTGGGTATGTCCTGCGGCTATCTTATGCAGAGAGCAATGCTTTCCTTATTACAAGTGTGTGTGTACACGTGTCGTTGCTACGGCTTTTGTGCGACGGTCTTGTGAAGAATGGAAGGCATACTTTATTATAAGCATGTGTGTAATATGTGTCTTTGTTGCGACTGTTGTGCAACGATCTTGTGGCACTTGTTGCGATCTGCGCAATATGTACTTGTCGACGAAAGTGAAGTGGCAACACTTCTACGCGTGAGCGGCAGAGGAAATTCCTCTCGGTGCGAGTTACAATAAGTGTATTTCTGCATGATGTCCGTCCTGAGCCGCCTATGAATTTCAATCGGACGCGCCAACTATGGGCCAGTTTAGTCTTGTTCATCACCCTTCGTCTGCTGTAGTATGTGTGGGGATAGCTTGTGAAATTCATCTGGCCTTAAATCAGGTAACTCTGCACGGAAGCATAGTACCTAATACTACCTTCTAACTTTTTATTGCCGCTGCAACTCCTACACTCCACGCACGCATTCACACATACAGTCGTAAAGCGCGATGGAGATGTGATCACACATTCCCTGCACCACGTGGTATCCAAAGGCACAGCTGTGGGCAAGGGCGCGAACAAATTTTCACCAGATGCAGCCAGTTCGAAGGTTTCTGACTTTGACAGAGTGGTTGAGGACCGCTTGCGCGCTAATGAATGTAGGTGGCCATACCATGCATATAAATCTTGTGTTGTGTATCAACTCATCCGTGTATATATATATATATATGACGGCTGCAAAAGATTTGAGTCTCGTTGGAAAAATTGTGGTGCAAGAGTGTGCGTGGTGATGGTCTGGTGTTCTGGTGGGCGATTGGCATGACGCGAGGTGTGCTGTTGTAACTCTTCATTCATTTATTCTTTGGAAATGCTGCGCTGGGTGCAATGGGCCTTACACAAATACTGACATTAGGTCATAAAAAATTTATCAGATATTTTAATTTTGGGACGTAGTTTGTTCAGGGTCAGATCATTTTATAACCGAAATGGCCTTAGTATGCGTGCACATATTTTGGTGTACTGTGATCATCTTTCCCCGTCTTGTTCAATTCATGTGCTCTGCGTTAGTTGTCGCATGCTCTATTGTTCGGTGTATATTATGTTGTACGATGGGCATGCCACAGGCGCAAACGATTGCCCGAGTTCTAGATCTCTACCTGCGACCCTACAGTAAACCCTCGGCGGAAGACGTATCATGTAATGTTTACACAGAGGTCGACTCTTTGTCACTAACGTTCATGATCCTCGCTCGTATACACAGTACCGGTATACCGGAGTGATCTGACCTCAGACAGGGACAGATTAGAGTTTCTCACCGGTTACATGCAACGCGTACGGAGCGAGTACATCAAAAACTTCTATCCCGTGGGACAACTGATACATACACAGAAGGAACAAGTAAGCACGGATACCACCTCGAAGTGTGTCGTTTTGAGCATTAAATTCACACGGCCGTAGGTATTACTATATTATTTTGCATCCATTCAGTACAGAGACAACCAAGCTTGAGATTATGTATCCGAATAAGAGTGTGAGACCTTCTAAGCCCTCGGCTCAGTACACAATTGTCGGTGGCAACAGTTTTCAGTGATTGACAACAAATCTATTAGCCACTGAGGTGTACCTCTAATGGAATTAATCGTCTCGATTTCAGGGCAAATTATTAATAGCGCAGCAGGCGAACGATGTACGAGCAACCGAAAACGAGATCGACTCCGCGTTAAGGCAAATCGGGGCAACTCGTGAAAGGGTATGAACGAATAGATTATGATTGTCAGCCTCTGAATTTGGCTGTTGCGAGATGACACATGTCGCAGAGTGACACTATAGCTAGAATTGCTAAGATCCCGGAGTACCACTTATAGCTAGAATTGATAAGATCCGACAAAACGCATGCTTCAAGTAGCGGTTAATATAGTGCATAGTGGTCGCTTCATATTACTTGGACGTTTGCGAACTGGTTGCTTCTGCTTTCCGTAGGCAGGAATCGCATATCACCAAGTAAGACAGCTCTGTACTATAGCTTATCCTGAATATTCAATATCCGTTCGAATATGAGATCTTGTTCGTGTCGACAGGTAAAGTAGCATGCAAGCGCGTCACTAGCGCTTTGTCGTGATAAACCCGATTCCTCATTTTTCGGCCCTTTGGAGATGTTCTAGAACTTTTGAATCATTTGCAGAAGTATTGCTTTTTGTGAGCTGCGATGTTTGCCGCGACCTCAATGAATACTTCCCATTGACGTAACTTGCCAACTGCGCCAATCTATAGTTAAGCGGCGTTGAAAGTAAAGTGAGGAGTTTACTGAATGACCTGAATGAGACTGTGGAGATCCACAACTCGAGGGCCCAGGGAGCACTCCTTTCCGACGCGGAGGTATACATGTGTATTGTTTGTCTTCTAACGTAGTCGCTATCGTTTACATGTACCACGGCGATGTAATCTTGGTCTGCTTAACTGTGGGACATACGATGCGTTAATGTCGCTTTTTCGGTACATAGTTATTGTAGAGTATGGATGAGTATGTATTGCTTAGTGAATGGTGCTAAATTGCATTGGTCGAAATGATCCTCACAAGCTGTGTATGGCCCACTTAAGCTGATTCATACACGTGTTTATCATGAAAAGGACCCGTATCTATATTCATACTTCATCCTCGAGGTCATGCGATACACCATTCCCATCCATGTAGATGTGTCCATGATCCAGAAGTACACATCAGGTGATGAGTATACATCCTTGATCAATAGTGCTATTATAGGATGTTGTCATAGGGTTTCGTTTTCGTCTACGCTTTCGGTGTTGTATCCTTGCCACTATGTTGTCATCACAACCGAACGCAGATAGATAGGACCGTCCGTGTCAGTCTAAGCCTTTTAAGGGGCGCTACCACGACTGCAAGCCTTCATTTGGCTTAGAATAAGATGCTGCAGCGATCAACATCTTGCTTTTATATACTTTCGAATGAGATGCCAAAAGTTATCATAGAGTTGCCATCCATGCATGGACGAGATTGCACAAGATTTTGTTGCTCATCACCGCTCATTCATTCACTTGGATACCACACTCGACAGAAAAAGTATATGGCCGAATTAGTCCGAGTGAACGAGAGGCTCAGCGTTCATGTTCTGCCAAAGACGGACTCGGTACGTGTGGTATTCAATGACCTGTGGCTGCGTGAGCGTATATCGGACAAGGAGGTGGCGGCTGCATATGTAGTCAGAGACGTGTGAAATATTGCCTGTTTTTGGAGGTGGTGGATATGGTCAGATACGATGTGCATTTTAGTAGTCGATGTATACAAACCCGAGTTGTATTTATTAAGTGCTACATGTGTTTGTCATGCTTGATGGCTTCATGCTTGATGGCTTCTTCACATCTATAAGCCCTGTGCACAACCGGATCCTCTACTGTAGGACTGTATACAACTACTATCTCATATCGCCTGGACCTAAAGACTGAACGCGTATATTTCCGTATGTTCTGAGTATATCGTGAGATTGCGCACAATCCAGCTAACCCAGACACATGAAGTTACTCGACTCTCACTGATGGCATCTACTTCTTGTGTGACACGTGACATTTGACATCCTCAGATGCTAGACCGCGCTGACGATATTGCCGACACAATGGAAGATATCCGCGGAACGGATGATCAAGATAGTGCGGTACTAGATGGACCAGCGATACGGGATGAAATGGCACTGTTGTAAGTAGTGTTGACCGCATGCACAGATTGGAGCTTGAGAAAGTAATAGCATGGTTTATTGCAGTGGGGGTTTTGTCCACGGAATGTATCTGGTTGACAGATTGACAGTAGTTGGCTTGTGCGCATAGAGTTGCCGCGTGTATAAATGTGCACCAGGGGCGTTTCTCTGTGAACTCTTCAGTGAGTAAGCTAAGAATATTATAATGTACACGCGAAGACTAGCGTCTCCAGTATGTCTGTCTGCAAGACTGGCACTTCGGCTGTGCACTTGCATACCGCAGGTGCATTACATTCGGGCTGCCCCTATCGCTCAGAATGTCTGTGCAGTCATTGCAATCGTTTTAGTCTTGGAGGAAACACATATATTCATAGTTGATTGCATGCAAGTGTATATCGTCTACTCTCTATCTCTCGCTAGGTTTGTATATAATACGCCTGTTGCTCATACGTACAGTGGAGAGTGCTGTCGTTAGCACCTTACATATGTGCACGTATGTGTATCTTGGAGACACTGTGTCCTTTGCACTAAATTGCGTGGGCTGTGTCCTGCATATTTTGTACTACTGTACATGATCCGATGCATCCACCAAGGCATATATACCACTATGCACCATAGCCGATAGGTATCCGTGCGTGCGTCCATGCTGGCACCTGTTAAGCACTTATCTATGCCTGGCTCGCTGTATTTTTAATCTGCGGCCAATACTTTTCATTCTATTCTTTTCTTGCAGAGGGGAGCGTATAGATCACCTGACAGGAAAAACCAGAGACCTTTCGCTGCAATACTTAAATGAGGTGGAGCTAGGGGTATAGACGGTGACAAATAGTAAAAATAAAATGTGGTTGCAGCGCAGTCAAGACTATCAGTAGTGTACTATATCGGACCTTCCGGGATGGTCAAGAGTTAAAAATGAAACGGCTTAACGATGTGCTCAATCTTATATGGTCCTATCGACAAATTTAAAGTAAACTCCTCGGATATCAACGAAGATTCAGAACAGTATGGGGACACTATGCATCGAATATAGTTCAGTTTCGCTGACGGGGCAATGCGTCTCTTGTTGTGAAGTATACTAGCTGTTTTCTGTCATAGCCTCCAGAATTACATCATTGTTGATCGATAACTGTCCAACACTATTATATAAAGTTATGCGGCTGATCTACTAGACCTCCTTGACAAATTCACTTCGTACACAATGTTACTCGTTAATGTCGAGGTTCATCTTCTAGTATCATTATGCACGACGCTAAATGGAATCAAAAACAGGCCACCACATATGTGAGTTGAAAATGAAGGTATTCAATTTTAAAATAAGACTACTTCATTCGTTGTGCATAATATGATTGACCCCTAACGAAATGATGCAGATCCACGAACGACAGATACGTGGATGTTAGTATGAGGTGGTAACGTTGATTGAGCCTGAGAGGGCTGTACATACATGGTATGGCGAACCCCAGTATAGATAATCTTCATTGCACTTCA